AAGATAAACAAGATCATTTAGGTAAATAAACAAAATCATTTTGTGTTATATATTTAGTCTATTAAAATGGAATATTATGTTTTTCGTGATATTTTGTATAATAAAAATTTCAAAAATTTACGAAAAGCTTTTTGTAATATTCCGTAAAAATTAACAAAATCTTTTGATGTAAAAAAATTTTGAAAATTTCTGCAAAAATTTTCGCAAAATTTTACATCAAAAAATTTTAAAGATTTACGAAAATTTACAGAAATTCATGTAAAAATTTATAAAAATTTTACATTCCGAAAATTTACAGAGTTATTTGCTCTTAAAAATTTCCTGATGAATAATTTAGATTTTTTAACTATGTATTCGTGAATAAACTATTATAAAAAACTATTATCAAATATGTAATCTGAAATATATTTCTACAAAGAATATTTCATATCTGAGACAGAGAAATTATCACTTAATCGTAATGAAGGATTAGTAGCTGGAACTTTTTTCAGTTTCGACAACAGGCTGTTGCTGAAAATTTAGTCATGTGATTTAATTATAAAGACAAGAATTTATAAAATCTTTTACAGAATGCGTACCTTGTACTTCAACAACACTTTTCAATATAGATAGCTAACAAACTTTATAAATACTTCATGCATAAATCTTCTGAATAGAATATTACTAGTTTTCTAAACAAATGTAATATAGAGCTTTTGAGCAGAAAATAGATTAATACCTTAAGTATCTTGGCACTATTATTAATTGTAAGTAAAGTAAGAAAAAGAAAAAAGAAAAGGTGAAATTGCTCCTTAAAAAATATAAAGAGGTAAGAAAATCTTTTTTAAAATTGTAGCTTAAGAATAGTAGAGTGACATGGGTCCACTTGGTTCTTGTTATTTAAGACTATTCACTGAGCCACAAAACCAGTGTTGGGAATATACTTGCACGCAAAATTATTTTGGGCCCCGAAATTGTAATTTCGGGGAAAAAAGTCGACTATACTTGCACGCAAAATTATTTTGGGGCCCCGAAATTGCAATTTCGGGGAAAAAAGTCGAAATAGTTTTTCATAGAAGACGAAATTATTTTACTTAAAACCCAAAATTTTTTGACCACCCAGATTTATTCTTTGATTAAAGATACATATAACTGGGTACTTTTTTTACTTCTATATATAGAATAGATTTTGTATAAATCTCAAAAAGTCGAAATACCTCAAAAATCCAAAATCAATTTTGGGAACATGTATAGTTGGGAAATAGATAATCCACTTGGTTGTCTGATGTTCAAAGCTACTCGCTGACCTAACCTGGTTTCACTAGTACAATATATAATTCACTTGGTTATCTATTGTTCAAAGTCACTTGTTGATCTGGTAAAGAAATCAGAACTTGTGATGTTTTAGTTTAAAACAATTATTAATCTAATTTTTCAATTTTTAAATATAAGGATGATTGACCTAATTATAAAGAAGTTAGACAATGGGAAAACAGACGTAAACTGATCAGAGAGGGGTTTTCATTTAACTTTCACAACATAACTTTTACTGAAAATTCTTTGTTGGATGATTCTGGAATTATCAATAACATTAACCTGTCAGAAAAAAAAAAAAGAAAGAGATAAGTCTTCAGAAATGACTGACTATTTGAAAAAGTTTTCACTAATTATAAATATATAACTTTTCTTAAGAAAGAAAGTACTTGAAAAAGTGAGATCTTAGACCTCAGCAGAAAGCTAATTATGTAATTAATTACATAATTATTATATTATTTTTGAAATGCATTAAGTGTGAAAATGAGATGAACGGAGATGTATTCAGAAATGATCATATTCATTTTGAAAGCATATTATGTTCAGCAAGTGATAATAGTATGTTAAGTTCAATATTGTTAATATAAATATATATAAAACACTCTTTTGTAAAATATTTTTTTATTAAATAATTAAAGAACAAGAGGATGAGTCTAATATAACACTTATTTAGGAAGAAACATTATCAGAAATTGATTATTATGAATTGGTAAACAAAATCACTATATAAGATAATAAGAAGTCCTATTTTTTGTCTTATATTCAGGTATTATTATCTAAACTTAGCTGTTCTTAAAATTATTATTTATTGTACAGATGGACTTCAAACCCCTCCTCATCAAATTATCAGTAACACATACAATCAAGAAATATTAATTAACAAAAATATCTTAAGAATGTCTACTAAAAGTTTAGCAAAACTTGATGAATCTAAAGTATTTATTTGAAGATTGCTAATTTTAATGTATATAACAAATATTCAATAATTTATATTAAATAGTACTTTGAAAAATTTATTCTATATTTTATGAAATATAAGAAATTACAAAAAAATAATCTGTATTTGTAAGTAATTGAACTATTTAGGACATATTTTATAATTTATAAGTAATGCCTTCTCAATAAATAAGTATACAAATGATGATGTAATGGATATTTGAGAAAATAGCTAGTTTTTGAAATTTTAATCAGTTGATAATTATATAAAATTACAATCAAAAAAACTAAAGAGGAAAGTTAAATTATCAAAAGATTGGTATAATACTATTACAGAATATTTTAAGATAATAATATCCTATAGTATATATTTGACATTTATGACAATTATTGATTATATTATTTTATAGAAGACAACTGAAAATAAATCAAAAAAAATTATATCTGATTAGATTAGTATTACAAAAGAGCTAGAAGTTATAAAAGAAGAAGATAACAAAAAACTAATAAGAATAAAGAAATATTTGAACCAAGTTATACTACTGTTGTAAGTATTTTCTGAGTTTATTGTTACTTATTGCATATTGTTTCTAATATCTTATATTGCAGGATTGAATCATTCTCAAAACCAATCTCAAATATCAGTGCCCCAAATACCAGTGAGCATCATTATTGGTTAAAATTTGATCATCGTTTCTTCTCAAGAGCATTACAAGAATTTGTGGGTCTTGATTGAAGGGCGTAAGTATTGAATTTAATTGAGTTATCTTATTATTATTGATTTATATTAAATTTATTTTTTGTTTTTAGCATAAAAGTTTTTGTCCTTACTTCTAAATACAGAAGAAATTATATATACAATTATGTGATAGATATAGTGGTTAATAAAAAATATGCAGATTTGTTGATGTAGATGTGAAAGATAGGTGAAAAAATCTTTGTTAGTGAAAAGTTGAACCTCCTGTTAAATCCAATCTCACAAAATTAACAACAGATTTTTTTAAATTATATAGAGAAATGAGGAATTATTTAAATACTAGAATTTACATGCCATGGACATAAATTATAATAATCATATTATTTTTAAAATATTTGATTAACTTTTTGAGATCAAAATATTTATTATGTGAAAAGATAATGCATACGTATATGAGGAATATGGAAGTTTAAATATTGCTTTCAATATAAATTAGATTTTTATAATGAAAGAAGATATATTGCAGTTACTGAAATTTATAGTAAGTTCCATTTTATAAATATCTTTTATTGATTCTTAATTGATCTAAATTGATTTTATTATAAATGATCATTAAAACTGAAGTGGAAAATACTGTGAAAACAAAATATAATAGTAATACAGTACATATTTTGAAAAGAAAATTTGATAAAATTATTTAGACAAAACCATCACCATCAAATGTTATAAAAAAGAAAAAATAATTATTGTAAATAATCTTATTGAAAATTATAAATAATAAACTAGTGATTATTTTTTTTTAGAGTAGTCACACCACTGTTACTTGAGATATACATGTTATATTACATAGTGTAATTGTTATTTAAAAAATATATCAGAATGTATTTTTTTATTTTTTATATTATTATATTGTTATTATTTAATGAA